TTTACATTAGTATGAGTTTCCACGGAGCACAGTGCCTTAGTGCTCACTCCCCAGTATTATTATGTTTTTCAGGTCAGGATGTCGGCCAGGGAGCGTGACGTGACGGGGCATGACGGGACTTTCACGATATTTATATGTTTTTGGACTGTATAAATATACTTATGACTTACGCTTCCGCTTATCTTTTGATGACTTATGATGATGTTCTTGCTATCTTTTGACGAACGCATCATTTTGACGAGCTTTTGAGAAATTAAGTTTTTCAGTAACCGGACGTTTTTATTAAATTAGAACAACGGTTTTTCTAAAGTTAAGTAACGATTTTTCACGGTAGCACCCCAAATCAGTTTCGCAAAGTAAATATGTTTTATTTTTCAAAGACTTTGCGAATTATTGCGCAACTCTGATTTTACAGTAAGGTGGGGTGTTACAATTGGTATCAGAGCACGTTTCTGCGTCTCTGATAAGTTTTCAGTCAGAAATTTTTCAGAAAAAAAAACCGAACCGTCATGCTCACGCCCCGCCGACGACAGGTAAGTGCTGTTGCAATTCAGTTTTTCAGTTATAAACATATTACTTTGTCTATGCTCAGAATTGAGGATTAGGACTTTAGTTAAGATGCTCGAATCAGATTCAGACCTTAGAGTTCGGACATGACTCTAGTATTCAGGCATTCAGATATGACTCTAGATGTTAGGATTCCGAGATGACTCTAGAGTTCTTCAGGTTTCACGTCAGTGATTATCGGCCAATTTTGGCAACTCGTCAAGAGATCTGTGTGCCTTAGTAATCAGTCAGTAATGTTATCATGTATTCAGTAATGTTTAACTTTTCCCAATGTTCAGATGCCGCCTCGTAGGGAACCCGATCCTCCAGTTTTTATTCAAGCCACAGTAGTCGCACAGTTCCGCGACTATCATGTTAAGAAATTCTTTGGCCGAAGAAATCCCCGTATCAGGGGCAAGTGAATTCAGAACCGTAGAAAAGGATTGAGATTAAGAACTCTAGATTTAATTCTAGACTTATTCAAGTCAAGTTAGTATCTCGTCAGAAGAATTGTAAGCATTGTGCTAAGCAAATCTTAAGAATCATGTTCCTCAGAAATTTTTATCGAGAACTGCCATTTTGTCAATCAATTGGCAGACTTCAGAGAGAAATTCCATGATTTAATTCGAAGAATAGACTCAAAGTTCCTAAGTCAGATCAGTAAGTCATGTTCAAGGCCAGAATCTTCATATTAAAGGTTGTTATAATTCTCAAGTCAATGTTAAGGTAACGGTTTCCAGTGTATAAGAGTCAATAGTCCGGGTTACCATGGAGGCTTGAAATAAGAGCCACTCAGCCGGGTATACCATGGAGGCTTGAAGCTGGGGCCGAATCAGTAAGATTTCAGGTAATAACAACCTTTCAAGTCAGTCATGTCAGATATTTTATCAGTCATGCTATTTTAAGTTATGACTTTCAGAAGTCAAGATCAGCTAATTACTTTGTACTTGCGGGACCAGTTGATACTGGAGCAGCCCTATACAGTACAGGGTTCACGTTCACAATTTACCGTTTATGTTCATGATGTAAGGTCGACGTATAATAGTTGTTCAGCCGGGTAAAATATGGTGGTCTGACATACAAACCATTAGTCCAGATTTACCTGGAAGCTTGAAGTCGTACCTTATCAAGTCAAGTAAGTCAGTACATATCATGTTTTCAATCTCGAAGCGACTATTTAAGTTGTCTCGGGATAGTTTTCAGAGTTCGAACAAAGACGATTCAGTCATGTAAGAGTCAAGTCATGGTTTTTCAGCCATGAGAGTATTCAGGTCAGTCATGACAAGATCAAGGATAGTCTGTCTGGTAAGACAAGACTTATCTACCAATTTCAGTATGTCAGCACCTCGATTCTCAAATTCTGAAGAATCTGAGAAATCGTGAGAGATATTAAGTCATGAGGGACTTCTTCTTGAGGTTAAAGTGTAACCTCGGAGGGAGTAAAAAGTTGCAGGTACCACAGGTTGACATTCGCCGCGATGAAGAAGAGCCAATCGACAACAACGGATCGTGCCATGATGATAAACCGACGATTTCCATTCAAGATGCCATGCCAGAGTCTTAATACACTGGGAGGTTACAGGAGTCTTAACCACCAGCATTCCGATTGAAGATCCGCCAGCAGCCAGGAGAGGACGACCAACATATTTCAAAATTTCGTTTTGAGATCATATCTTAGCAAGTAGAACACTTTCTTTCAGAAAAGTGTCCATTTTCAGTCAGCAGTATTCTACAATTCACTTAATTGTGAATTGATGTATCTTCAGTTCAGATCAAGTCTTTTATTCAGTATTAAATTACTGGATTCTCAAGTCATGCAATCATTTCACTATCTATAGCGATGCTTCGAGGCAGGGCTTGGGATGTGTCCTTATGCAGGACGGACGGGTCGTTGCGTATGCTTCACGACAGCTTAAACCTCATGAGCAGAACTATCCTATGCACGACTTAGAGTTAGCCGCAGTCGTTCACGCCCTGAAGATCTGGCGTCATTATCTTTACGGCGGACGCTGCGAGATATTCACTGACCATAAGAGCCTACAGTACATCTTTACACAGAAGGAGCTTAATATTAGGCAGCGCCGTTGGCTCGAATTGGTCAAGGATTATGATTGTTCTATCCAATACCATCCGGGGAAGGCGAACGTCGTCGCAGATACCCTAAGCCGAAAGGTGACGGGAGACTTGACGTACGTTATCACGCAGCAGAGTCCATTGATCCAGGAGTTTGCCCGGATGTAGCTTCAGGCGATTAATGCACTCCCCATAGCTGTCTCGGGGAGCACTAGTGCCAGTGTCAGTGCTATGCAGCTTCAGCCGACACTGAGGGAGAGGATCCGGCGAGAGCAGGCTTCTGACGAGTTTGTGCGTGTCAAGGAGGCCAAGGTTCGCGCCGGAGGAGTACAGGATTTTCAGCTAGGCGCCGATGGTGCCTTGGAGTTCAGAGGCAGGATCGTGGTCCCAAAGGCCGAGGCATTGCGGAAGGAGATTCTATCAGAGGGCAGACCGCACCTTACTTGGCCCATCCCTGGAGCACGAAGATGTATCACGACATGAAAGGGTCGTTTTGGTAGAGAGGCATGAAGAAGGACGTCGCTGAGTTCGTCAGGCGGTGTCTTACCTGTCAACAAGTCAAGGCCGAACATCAGAGTCCAATTGGCCTCCTACAACCACTGCCGATTC